TGAATACAATATTCTCTTTGAGTGTCTTATTCTGAATCCATGCCTCTTGTGGTACATAAGCGACACTTCCCTTAACACAAGCCTTTCCCTCAAGAATTTCCAATTCACCCAAAAGTGCCGATAAAAGTGATGACTTCCCGGCGCCCACTAAACCCACGACAGCCACTAATTTCGGTTCAAACACTTCCAGCGATATATTCTTCAGAACCGGAGGAATATCTTTATTCCAAGAAAATGTCGCGTTTTTTATTGATATTAAAGGAGTTTCGTGTTTATCTTTAAAAACGGTGTTTTCATTAATTTCCTTAGCGTTAATGAATTTATTGATTCTGTTAAGGGATACCAAACACTAAATTTTATTAATAGTAATTATAGATCGTTATTATTTCAAGTTTAATACCTGTCCACCTTTTGATAATAATTCAGAACTACGTCCGAGTGCTAATCCTAATGTTTAAATAATCCCATATAGATCATTAAAACAATTTTAAATTAATAAAGTATAAAATTATTTACTCATTAAATTAAACAAAGTCAGGGAAACAAACGCTTTGTTTGCGTCCAGAATATTATTTGGAGAGATTAATACAAATGCCATAAAACTGATTAAACACATCTATGGTTCAAATATCAATCAAATTATTACTAATTAAATTTAATGTGCATGATGTAACATACAAACATGTGAGATGATAAAAACATAAATGTTATGGCGCTCTCATATACGGCCATTTTATTCAGTGCATTCACCTCCTGGTCCCGGGCTTTCAGCACTTGATCACTGAATGCCTGTTCCCAGGCATACAATTTCAATACTCTAATACCGTTCAGTATTTCACTTAATATGTTCACCCTATGATCCTTAATTTGCATCTGCATCATTTGGTATTTTCTTACTTTATTAGCCATATATCCGTTGAATGGCATTAAAATGACCAGAAATGCGAGACCGGCGAGAGTTGCGACACCTAATTGTTGCCACAATAGGATCATAGCTATTGTGATCTGAAAGGGTGACGACAATATGATGGTTGCATTTAAAATGAAGTCTATTATATACTGAATGTCAATAGAAATTAGATTTACTATTTCACCCAGAGTGAAATCCTTTCGACCAAAACTTGATAACTTTAAACTCTGTTTTTATAAACAATGTAATCCTTATATATTTATATCATGCTAAACATGTATATCATCTTAAACACAATCAAAAATACCTTTTTATAGATACATGACATGAGTGTTGCTCTGATTCTCATTGCCATTACATTAACCCGATATTCGTATTGACTGTTAAATAAGGACTCAAACAGAGGGGCAATAAACATAAGGGAGGCGTAGAATAAACCCCTCCACTGGGGCTCAGCATTAGAGGGACTCATGAATGTAATGAGTCTATCGAGTACTATAGGGCTAATGAATGCCAAACAACTAGAGATCAGTTTAAATGCACTGACAGTTAATAATTGCATCCAAAAACATTTCAAAAGTGGGTTTATAATATTCATGTAAAATTGCTTTTGATTTTCTTTTAATATTTTACTCTTTATTTGCTTTTTCGTTAATTGTAACCAAATTTTGCTAAATTTTGTGTAAATATAATCAGTGGTGTTGTGATTGTCTAAATACCACATGTCTTCAGATGTCAATGGTTTTCGGTATCCCTTGAAAATGAGTTCATTAAACCAATTGAATGTGATTTGCGATAGAAATGACACATATTTTTTGGGACATCTTTTCTATGAAGAGAATAGTAATTTATATGAAATGAATTCTTCTATGAAAAAATATTAATTTATTTAAGAATTGTATATAAAAATATAGGAAATAATACTTCTTTCGAATTAATTTTTATCGAGTTTGAGAGACAGGAGAGAAATAATTGAACAACAATTATGGGATACGATATCATTCTCGTCGTTATTTCAAATTCATTGATAGAGAAATTCTTATTTTTAATAAAAATAAATGATATAATATTATTTAATCTAAAAATATTGTTTAATTACAGACTCACTGTTTTTGGATGAAAAATGTGCCGAATTATTGTAATGTAATTAAAAGCACTTCCAATTGATAAGAGTAACCAAAATATGAATACAGAAACCGACGAATAAATACTGTATTTCCGATGCATTTGTATTCTATGAATGAAACATATCTGAGAAAGAATTATTGCAAAACTTAATTTTATTAAATTTATTAAAAATACTTATTAAACTAATTATATTACTTACAAAAGCGAATGATTTTATAATGGGTGTTATAAAATCAATTAGTGATAGATTCATATCAGATTTTATCCCATATCGATAACAAGTGTGAAATAATTCACTCATATTTACTACAAATAAGATTAGGGCTAAAATCTATAAAAAAAATTTAAACGATTAATTAAATGTAAATATAATTATATTTAAATCTTACAATTTTGATTAAGTCTTTGACAGCCCACGGAAGAGCTGTCTTCTCCCTGTCTTTCTTGAAGAATGTCCTCAAACTCTCACAAAAGGATAGTATGAAGAATACAAGACATGGAATCCATACCAATATTGTGTCCTCAAAACATAGGGTAAAATCGGGAATCTTTTTGCTATTCCACGAAAGATCCCAATCCTTATTAATGGGTAAATAATATAAATACTAATTTCATTTCACATTCAAATTAAATGTTGCAATTATAACATGTAATTCATTTAACAATTAAAACTTACCCAAAATATAGTGTTACAAATTGGTAACATTTTGTGTAACACAATTGTTAAAATGTTACAGTTATGTGTAATTAACAAGATTAAATTTAGTAAAAATTATCATAATTAAAAATGACTATATCATTTTATTATATTGAATTATATATATAATTACAATATAATTACAACATTAAAATTATAAACTAAATACATTAAAAGTTGGTATTGTAATGATAGACTATAGAAATAACCCGAACTTATATTCATCTCCGACCGAAAGTAAATGTTATTCCACCTATACTTTAAGTGAAGGGCATTTCTAAATATACTTTTAAATTAGAAATTATATTTTTAACCATAATTTAACATTTTTGATGCATTTCCCTAATTGTGTTTAACCTATAGCATCGTTATGTGTGAGTTGTTTAAATATTTGTTAAAATTAATTAATAAGTTTTAAAAGTCAAATAATCTAATCTAATGTATTTCACAGTTGTATACATTATTTATAACAATCAAAAGATATGAATAATTAGTTATTATTAGAAAAGTGCGTTCGATATAGCAATAAAAGGTGTGCACATATTTCGTAAGCAATTGCTTGCATTAATGCTTACACCAGTAGAATATACAGAATTACAAATATTGTAAATTACTTTCTAAATATTGCACTCTGCACGCGCATTCGATCTTTATAAAACTTGGATTCGAGTGATTAGGAATCTATTTATGAACACAATTTCACAATTCTATTTACACGGCGTCATAGTTAGGTCACTTAAATATCAGTTCTACCAATATATTCTACTGGTGTGAACATTAATGCGAGCAATTGTTTACAAAACATATGCACATTTTTTATTGCTATATCGAACGCACTTTTCTAATAATACATAATTATTCATATCTTTTGATTGTTATAAATAATGTATACAACTGTGAAATACTTTAGATGTATATTATCTGACTTTTCAAACTTAGTAATTAATTTTAATAAATATTCAAAAAGTCATACACAGCAATGCTATAGCCTATAAATTAAACACAATTCGGGAAATGCACGTATGTATCATTTTAGTTCAGTTCTACTTCTATTACTTGACATTTAAATCTCATTAATTTGTTTTAATAACTGTTTGAAAAAAAATGATTCTAATTTAACGCGGATTGAGTCCAATATCTAATGACTAGATTCTAGTCGAATATTTTTCACATTTTTCCACATTAATGGTAAGAAATTAACCAAAATGGGTGTAAGAATATCGATAATATACAATAGATTCGCCAAATTAAGTATATATTTTATTTATATTAGGAAAGTCCCAGGTACGATTTATGTTCATTTTTACTATGTAAACTTGCATAGGTTTGCATTGAACCATAGGTTTTCAGAGATCTCCTAATTTATATCATGAGCGCCGAGTGATCAAAGCTTAATTACGTACAGTGTATACAGAATTACAAATTCTATAAATTTTTCTCAATATTGCACTAAATTTAATTTATTAAGAATCTTACAAATAATTTATAAGATAGTATTATATGTAATGAACGGCAGATTTTCAAACTTCCTTGAATTCCCATGTTGCCGCTACGGAGAATAGAGGGAAATTACGGAATATACGAACGTGTGGGAAGGGGAATTTATTTTGGGAAAATATTTTTTAATTTTAGTGATCAAAGCTTAATTACGTACAGTGTATACAGAATTACAAATTCTATAAATTTTTCTCAATATTGCACTAAATTTAATTTATTAAGAATCTTACAAATAATTTATAAGATAGTATTATATGTAATCTTCTTATTAAAATATTAATATAAAATCTGATAAATAGTTAAGATATTAGACGAGATTTGCTTCTTTGGCCATAGAATAGAAGATAGAGTTAGTGTTTTGCAAGAGATGATGGGGTGAATCAAACTCGGCTACCATTCCCTTATCCATTACCAACACTTTGTCGTAATCTATGATTGTATTCAATCGATGAGCGATCGTAACAATAGTTGACAAACAAAACTCTTTTATGGGGTGAATCAAACTCGGCTACCATTCCCTTATCCATTACCAACACTTTGTCGTAATCTATGATTGTATTCAATCGATGAGCGATCGTAACAATGGTTGACAAACAAAACTCTTTTCTAATCGTCTCTTGGATTAAGTCATCCGTTTCCATATCAACCGCTGAAACACATTAATAGTAATATAATTATAGTTTAAATATTGAATTAAAGGCAAAACAAGTGTTACCAGCGGTCGCCTCGTCTAACACTAAGATCTTAGTTCTCCTCAACAAAGCTCTGGCCAAACAAAATAACTGTTTTTGTCCAACACTTAGATTTTCTCCGCCTTCAGAGATCTGATGACTCAATCCCTTCTCCAAAGTGTTTACAAATTGCTTGAGATGTGCCGACTCTAAGGCCCTCCAGATATCAGTGTCTGAGTATTGGTTGAATGGATCCAAATTGAGACGTAATGTTCCGGTGAAGAGCGCCGGGTCTTGAGGTATAATTGTTATCCGAGATCTCAAGTCATATAAACCAAGTTTTCTGATGTCCACTGAGTCTATAAATATGGATCCGTCGACCGGTTCTATGAGTCGGAACAGCGCCAGAGTTAGCGACGACTTTCCGGCACCCGTTCTGCCGACTATTCCCACCTTCTCTTTGGGCCGAACTTCTAATGTAATCTTTTTGAGCACTAAATCCAATCCTTCTCTATATCTAGTGCTGTATTCACTGAACTTTATTTCTCCCCTTTCCGGCCAATCGGGCGAAGGTTTTGTCGCCTCATTATACCATTCAGACTAGAAATCAGTTTAAAAATTAATAAAGTTTTCAATGTTTGGATTTTAAATAATACTTCAATTGGAGTTTTCGTGTATTCAAGACATCTCTCAACAGAAACGATATTAGTTTCGAGATTTGACGTCGAATTCATTAATAATTTCAAACTTCGAGTTATATTAAGTGAATAACTAATAGCCAGACCCGCAATACCGGGACTTAATTTGAAACGATTATAGACAGTAAATACTATCGTTAAAAATACAATACAATTGCCTAATAATTCCAGTCTAATTGCGAACCATTGGTAAGCTGTAAAACTTGGATAATAACACATATGATTTTCATCGACCCGTCTATTGGACTCCTGTATGAACTGATCGGACACTCCATACGCTCTAATACTTGTGGAACCGCTAACTGTTTCACTGAAATGACTATAAATAGGGGAACGAGTGGTCGACTCAATGCGTTTAAGTTGACGAGAGCTCCGAATATATATCTTTTGAATGAAATAATAAACAAAAAACAGGGGAAGAATTGCCGTCAATATTAGCGGTGTTTGAAATGTAATAAGAAAAAAGGCGACAAATGTTTTTAAAATTTGTGATATTGTCATTCGAAGACTGAATAAAAGATAAACATCGACTGAATCCATGTCACGACTGAACCGATTCAAGATTCTTCCGATTGGTGTTGTGTCTGGAAAATGCTTTTATCAATACTTTACAAAATGTGAACAATTTTCTTACCGAAGAAAAGTATTGGCGCTTTTATAATCCTATCTAACATAATGTTATGCAAGTGTTTCGAAGCTCTTAGACATCCATAACTGATAAATATATCAGAAATAAAAGTGAAAACAGTGTCAAAGACACCGATTCCGGCGTAAACTCCGAGTCGAGTATAGCGAAGATTTGTGTCATTTATTTGATTGGCGTCGAGGGAGTCATCGGACCACTCGCTCAGCCAAAGGCCCGATAATATCTGAGCCATTGTTGAGGCGACGGAAGAAATAATAATTACTGAACAAAATGTGAAACCAATTAAGGTAATATATTTGCTGTATATTTTAAATCCAACAGAACTCGTCTCTGATCTCTCGGTTTCGGTTAACTTTCCACTCGTTTTAACCAATAATTGTTTTTTAATAATAATTTCTTCTTTTATATCATTTAATCGTTTTTCTCTCAAATTATTTAACATTTTTTTCATGAGATTTTTCCATTCATCTCTAACTCCGGACCCATTCAATCCGCCATTCGTTAGATTAATAACTTTTTTAACTAAAAATTTCATTCTATCTCTTAATTTATTGATAACTTTCTTCTCTCCATTTTCGAGTTCATTATCCGACTCTTCCATCAAGTATTCGGTCACAAATTCAGCGAAATAACTATTTTTTGAGATCAGTTCTTCAAAAGTCCCCGATTCAGAGAAGTATCCATTCTTTATGACCACAATTTGGTCCACATTTGGCAAAATAGAGACACAATTTGTAACCAAAATTCTTATTTTGTCTTTCAATAAACCGTTTCTTCCAATAGTTTTGTCAAACAAATGTTTGCCCACATGTGTGTCCACAGCGCTTACAAATTCAGATAATTTAAATAGTTTTTTAATTAATAATAATAACAATTTATACCTCAACGGGTCGTCGAGTAAATAGATATCTCGGTTGGAATAGACAGCCCTCGCCATTGAAACCCTCTGTTTCTGACCGCCGGACAAATTGATACCTTTTTCGCCGATTTCTGTCAGATCTCTGTCCGGAAGGACAGCCAAGTCTGGCACTAAAGCACACGATTCGAGCACTCGTTCATAGTATTCATCATTCAATTCATTAGTGAATACAA